GCTATATATTTTCACGCCGTTAAACTTAGGGGTAAATATTTTGGATAAAAACCCTAATGTGGGAAAGAGACCATAAGTTGTTTCCAACATCAAGGAAGCAAGGTTGCCATGGTTTGACATCATGTCGTGTCATTTTGACAATTGCAACTTGACAAATGTAAACAATAAAATAATTTTATGCGGATGAAGTCGCATGGGACCAGCTAGTTCATCATATTTGAAAGTCTAAAGTATCAAGTAACAGTCAGTTTATCGTAATATCCTCTGTAACGTCACGCTGAGCAGTTAGCGTGTAATGTATTACGCATAATGATAGGCTCAGAGAACCGTTCAAACAAGCCAGGATTAACGGATTACCCTGAATTCCATACGTACGGCATTATTTAGTTAGTCATTTGATATATATCTTTTAACGTCTCTTATATTTTTAGTATTAAAACTAACGCAAACATTTCCATCAGATTTAACAGACTATTTTAATATATATCTGTCTTTTTGCTGTTCATGTATCATACTTTTTTAATATTAACTGTAGGTTTCCACTGCCGCTGCCCCTAAATCACGTACAGAAATGTCCTCTTTATGTGCGTCTCCTCCTCCGTCAATTAAGGGTAGGCAACGCATCTGCAATTGCGGGTGTTTATGGGTAGCGGTCGCGTTCCATTTCGGTGGATTCAGGTGGCTTGCTCATTTGCCACCTTATATTATAAAAAAAAACGGACATAATATTACAAAGATATTTCGTTAGATGAGAAATTGGTATGAATTTAATTCGATTTGCTTGGACATTTTCTTTATCTATAACTACTATTATATATGGACCACAATGTATATTTAATGAAAATATAAACCGTGTTTCAAAATAAAATTTATTACGCTATCACCGGATGAATAGATAGATGGCAATTCATATGAAAGTTAACAAGCTTTTACATTTAATAGACGCCATATTTTCTAAACATGCAGTATCATGGAGTTAAAGTAATGGTATTTTATGGACATAATGAAGTACTTTCTTTTAGTTTTATTTCAAGTAATATTAGATTTAAATGTAAACTAATAAATATATTGAAATTGATTAACACTTTCACTTTATTTGAGTTTTATATTGAATAATAATATAATAATATTATAAAGAGGAAAACTTTGTATTTTTGTATGTATTGAAATAACTCAAAAACTACTGGGCCGATTTTAAAAATTCTTTTACCATCAGAATGGTAATTTATTTGCGAGTAACATAGGCTATATTTTATTATTAATAATGTTTAGGAACTATTAATAAACTGCGTGTTTCTAGACGCCGGCGTTAATATTGAATAAAGTTTTAGTAATACAACATTGTTTAACGCTTGCGTGTTTAAAATTTGCACCTTAACTATAGTCTACTAGCTTTCGCCCGTAACTCCGTCCGCGTGGAATAAAAAAAAGCCTATGTGTTTTTCCAGACTATCCTCTACATCTGTACCAAATTTCACCGAAATCCGTTCAGCCGTTAAAGCTACAAACTCTAACAAACATCCATCCATGCATCTAAACTTTCACATTTATAATATTAGTTAGATTTTAAAGTATAATAATAAATGCTTTTATTCTATTTGCATAATTTTAACATTTATGTATGAATGAACTTATAAAATTAAATTTCTGGTAACATTAAAATGTCTTATCTACAAGAAATTTTTGGATATATTTGTCTAAAGGTGTGAATTCTATAAGCTTCTCAAGAATTCTTATTCAAGTAAAACATTTCTTTTTAGTTACGAGTCTGTTTATTACGATAAAACTAGATTATACAGTGTTTTAATATGTCCAGTACTAGTATTATTACGTAAAAATAATTCTGCGCTTACGAGACAAAACACCCCAGTTCTATAAACAAAAAGGTTCATTAATCTCAAAAAACATATGGCATGATAAATTACGTGCTGTTATCATCTCTCCCTCTCACATATGTTGAAACTAGTAGGTGTGAATGAGATAGATGTACCTGTATGTACACTCACAGCCATTATTCAAACGGTGTGGTTCGGACATCCGTGGTTCCGGTGTTAGCGATGCGTGACCATGTCTTCCTGGCCTATGACTCATTGTTATCGTTATTTATAGAAACAATTACATCAAATTCTTTAATAGAATTTCAATGAGACTGTACAAGTAAAAGTGAATAAGTTTTATACGATTTTTCAACACTTTTAACTAGAATCTGACGTAGAAATGGGTAAATATAATCGATTAACAATTAGCTAATGATTCGGAATACAAATATAAAGAAGTCTCTAGTCTCTTCTAGAAGATAGAGTCTGATATTTTTCCATCATAAGTTAATACACACAATAAAAATCAATTTTAATCCATTACATCATGAAAAAAATCCCATTTTTTGAGCTATTCTTACACTTTTTATTTATTATAAAAGAAAGCAATTATTGCAGCTGCATATCGTCTAACAATCTATCGATTACATTTCGAAAGTTTCCCACGACTTATAAATATGAAAACAAACACTGGCTAACATAAGCTGAACAAACATAACGTAACATAAGATCTTCCGACATGGACCTAAACTTATATTTTATCTAAAAGATGAAGCAAAATTATATTTCAAAGGTCTGAAAATATACGACGACTAACATTGCCAGAAATTCAAAGGAATTTCATTCAACTGGATTCTATAATATCCACGATATAAAAGAAATCTATATTGCTATAAAATATGTAATCCGAATAGTATAAAAAACCATAAAATTTTACTGTTCAATTTCATGACATACCTCGATAAAGCGTTTGATTACGTAAACTGCTAGTAAACAATGCTAACAACGAATCGAAGACAGAGCAAATTGTACATGTATAAAGAATATGTAATTCATAGCTGCATTGCATACACGAATCATTGGCTTGTTGGATCGATATGCTTTACCGTTGTCAACCTAATAGAGGTTTCCTCAGGGGACTAAATTTGGCCCCATTTCCTAAAGGTCGTCTTTAAAATAAGGAATTGTGGCCAGTCTCTGCAAAATTATAATATAACCATAAACACTCGACACTGGCCCAATTGGCTTGAGGGAGAACCATAAACAAGAAATAGGTAGATAAAATAAGGAATATAAAGAAAATAAGGATGTTCAAAGTATATAATTCCACGAAACTTAATTTTCCTTCAGTCTATGTATGAATGTGTAGGTAAAAAATGAATTGCTGCACTTAAATTGCAATTACATGATTATTATGATTTTATCGAAATCGTATTTATTGCAATATTGCACTTATAGTCTTGCATACCTACGACCGACTGGAGTTTATCTAATCACCTACAGTTACGTATTCTCGAAAATATGTCGTCATGCCACACCTGAATTAAGACAAATGTTTAAGAAAATACAAAATACTGTTTATTAAATTTTACAAAAAAAAAAATACATTTAAAAGTAAATAATATCACATTTGACGTCTGTTGCCGAACGAAATACCGGACTGCTGGCCTTTGTTGCTCCCGTACTGCAAAGAGATGACATTCTGTCCCGCCTTTAGCTGCTCCTCTGTGAACTCGCGTACATTCTTGTCAGCCTCCTTGGGACCGATAGAAGGCTTGCCATAGTTACCCGCCTTTCTTCCCAACGATTGCAGGCAGATCACCACCGAATACAAATTCTGTCGCTCCCAAAGATCAATAGTCTGGAAAGTCTCTTGAGGCGGCACTCCTAACTTCTTCGCTGCCTCGAGAAATGCATTGATATTTTCCATGCACTTAAAGGCCATCGTTGACTGGTTAATCTTTTTAACTGAACCTTCTTGTATAGCATTGACCAGTTTACAGAGAAGCGTGCCGTCTTTGAGTACTTCGTAGAGGTTGTCGACATTACCCGAGGTATCAGTAGGCGAGCCGGTTAGCTTCTTGATCCATTCGAGTGTTTCATGAGCGATGTCATCGTTGAATTTACTGTTAATTCTAGCTTGTGCCTCAGCGTTGATGCCGGCTTTGTTAGCGCGATACTCAGCCATGTCTACTTGTCTGTGCTGCTCGTTCCACGGATACGTAGCCACTAAGGTACTCGATGGCCGACTTACCAATATCTGCGATATCTTCGATATCACATATCGTTCTACGAATGTTACCGCGACAATTTATCGCCTGTTATCTTTGCCGCATATTTGATGATTGAAACAACATAAATAAATGTATGAACGATTCGATATGGATTACAAACTAATAAATACAATGGGTTAATATTTTATCACGTAACGTTTTCTTTTTTCCACGTAACGATACAAAATGGATAAGGAAGGAAAACATGAGATGATGTAATAGCATTTTAAGACACGCCAAACAACCATATAACGCGCATATACTGAAAATCATTACATCCATTTTTGTTGGGAACGATTGGCGTGTTTCTTGGCTGTACTTTGTATGTTTGTATTGTTGTCTGTATGTTTTCTAATATTTATTAGAGTTAACAGAATCTAGATCGATAGAAGATATAATATACTATATACATTTATATTTGTGACTATTTAAAGTTATCGTGTTTATTTAGCTATCAAATATAAAGTATGTTAAGAGCGTGGTCACCATTACTCATAGAAGCCATAGCGCGAACGCACTGCGCAATCTAGACTTAGATCTTTATCTTAGAAACACTCAAATATTACGTCATTCAATTACTTTTTTAGATTTCTTGAAATTCAGCTTGAATTTTTTATCATCTATGTCTGTCTGTTCACTTTCTAATATCCATTATTGTGATGTTTAATTTAATTATTTAATGCGGTCAAAATAAAGTTGTATATCGGTTGGATGTTAGAGGACGAAAGGTTTTTACTTCAAAAATGTATTTCATTTTAACATGTGAGGGGGGGGGAATGGACAGGGGAAGGAAGTTGAGTGAGGCGATGAAACGACAGGGTGAATCGGGACTTATTGAGCTAGCGCGCTCTAACCTTCGGCCGCGTCTTCACTTAGGTTTCACAAAAAAAAAACATTATTATGATTATTTAGACTTTTTGATGTTATTTAAAATAATAAAATAATCTATAGACAACTCACTTTAATTACATTGCTAATTAAGTGTAAAAAAATAATTAAAAGAAACAGATGATTCAGGTTATATGAAGTACCTAATGAGAGGTTGTAAATATTCACAAAAGAACATTCTAGAGGCCATTGGACATTCTTATCATGCGGTGTAATAGACGCTTAGATTTTATCGTAAGATTTGATAACGATTCAATTGCATTCGAGTACAAAAGCGGTTACTTTTATTTCATATCTACATACTGAAATTATAATTGTACAATAATTTAATGATAGACTTAACCAAGCTAATGAATCGTGCAATCAGTAGAAAATTTATACAGTAAGGTGACAGCCAAGTTTATATAGGTAAACGGGGATAGGTTTCCCCTTAAACTCATCATCATCATCTCCCCTGCCTTATCCTACTCCCGTACGGTCGGCGAACCGGGTTTTTGTCCTCCAAAGCACTTTATCATCCGTCATCTCAGTCATCACTCTCTTCTTGATCATGTCCCCTTTCACGCAACCCACTCATCTCTTTCTAGGTCTACCTCTACCGGTGTACCCCTCCACATTCATAACTAACGTCCGTCTTGTTACATGAGATTCATCCCTTCTCATAACATGCCTATACCACTTTAATCTTTTACAGGAGTAAAAGGCCCTAGTAGTAGAGAAGGTAAGGATACCTTCTCTACTACTAGGGCTACTCTCAAACTTCCTCTAATATACTCATTTCGTATCTTATCCAATGGTGTATTTCCCCTTAAAACTATAATCTATTTTTGAGTGATATTCCTTGAAAATCAATATTTATGAAGACGAAATAAAACAATATTATTACAGTTTATTCGATACAATCCGTTTTTTCTGGTATTTTCGTAACTTTTTTTATAATAATGATACAGATTTTTTTATTTTAAACAAAACAAATATTGGCGTTTGGTATTAGCTGACTGTCAGACGGCGCCCAAAAATCAACAAAACGGTTGTCGATTTTTTTTTATTGTGCAAAACAGTGTAAAAGGCGGTACCTATTCGCGGATAGCCTTGTTACTGCACGGCACAGATCCGTAATTTTTATTGTGTTTAATCAGCAAGCGAAACAATGCCCCGAGCGGATTGCGCCGAACAAAAGGCCGCTATCACAGTTAACAAGTGATAAAAGTGGCCAGATATAAATCTTAAAAATAATAACCTGGCAGAATGCTTTGTTTCCTTTGTCTTGAAGGGATAATTTTTTTTGTTGATTTTGACTATACACAACAGCTTGTACAGTCAGCTGCTTACATATGTATTGATTTTGAAAAGTTTAAAAAACTTTTATAGGCTTCAGTTTTTAAAATATTTACGGATGTATATGTCAATAGAATAAACTCACAGTCAGAAGGATATTCTTACATTTAAATGAAAACTAAAGATGTAATATAAGTATCCGAAAGTCATAAATGTATGCATATTTGTGAAGCATAGTGTACCTTATTCAAAAGCAAAACTGTGTTGCCGCAAACCTTAAGTCAAAATGTTTAATTCAAGTAGAAGTGAAATATGTTAATAAGTGGTTCGCCTGAGATTTGATAGGGGAATGAACACCCCCTCAATACAACCCTTATATATAAGAACAATAGCTTATATACTGCAAGAGGGAACTATTAGTCACATTTTATATATTACTGAGAGTTATACAAGTATGCAATACAAATAGATAACCAGTTATATTACTTTCAAGACAACTTTTAATATTTTCTTACTAGCATTACTTATAACTAGCAATCCTTACTTAATAGTAAAAGAATAACATTATTTCTGTAACTTAGAATATAGTTTTAAGTTGGGTAAAGTAAATTTATTAACCAATGACGATTGTTAGGTTTTGTAAGTTTCAGAAAGCTTGGGGAGTTAATTTGCTATCTTAATATTGAATAAAAAAAAACAAAACATACAGACGAATTGGGTACCTCCTTCTTTTGGGAAGTCGGTCAAAAAGTTATTGTTGACCTTGACTAAACATCACAAAATTAAAAGTAAAAACTTGAGAAGGACAATTACTACTTACAAAGACTATTTGAAAGCACTTTTGCAGAATGATCGTTATAACGTAATGTAATGAGACATTAATTAATTATGACCTTTCGTTGGCGTATAAATTATGTTTTCAAGGTAATTCATAATTGCTTAACGTCATAGTATTAGTTAGGCATTATATTACAGCTGTGTTGTTGCTAAATAAACTATTTTGTTCAGTGTATTTTCAAATTCAAAGTTTCGCAACTGTAGAATGGCTAAAAGTCGACGATTCTAGGCAAGCAGTTTTGTAACTCGGACGACTAGCGTGATAAAACTATGATAACGCTCTCAGGTGTACACGCGTATCAACTAAAATCAAATAGAGATCGTGGAACAATAGTAACAAAACCAATAAGAAACTTACCGAAACTTTTTACACCTGATAAAAGTTTTGATGCGTTTTCACTATGCACAGACAGATTAAATGTTAAATAATAAAATACATTTTATATCACAACACAACACTTTCACAGTTTTGTTGTAATCAGCCGGCTCAGCGGCAAAATTTATAGACTCCCGGCAGTGTAAAATGAATAAAATAACTTTTACGTGAAATCCACCGTTCACGAACCGTTCGTTCGGAAACCTTCGCTCCCTTCCCTCGCTATCATTCGTTGCGTCTGCCCCACTACTCACCATGTGACATTAAGATCTAGCCTCCCATTGGTCACTTATTTTGCTAGTGATGTGTATATCGATTTTTATCGATAAACGTTAATTCGGAGAAAACACCGTGCTAGTGGCATCATATTGAAAATTTCACGCATGTGCCGGCTCGCTTGGTGGAATACCACGACCACACAGAAGACGTGCGTGAAGTGGGATCAATTCCGCGTTTCGTCTGATGAGTTGGATGACGGAGGCTAAAAAAAGGGACTAAAATTTCCGCCATTTCGGTGGATTTAGGTGGCCGCTTGCTCTTTTGCCACTTTATGATATAAAAAAATCACTACTTTTGAAAGTTTAAATTAGATGAATGAAAAGTGATGTGCGAAACATTCTCAACACAAAATGTGTGGTTACATTGCGAATAATTTTGACTTGTGTAGATAGTTTAACTTCATTGTGAATGAAACTCAGAATTTAATTATTTTTTTTTTTTGTGAAAGTCAAACTTTATTATGAATTCTTTTTATAAGTCACTTTCTACCTGAACTGTCGATATCGAAATGTATAATGATTTGAATTCGCAACCCTAATCGTTGACGTTATAGTCGTTGACATTTACAGTGGCGTTCCGAAACTTAAACTTAGGACACACTGCTTGAACTATTACTTTACTTTGTTTCGATATAACAACAATGTTTTACAAAAAAATAAAAGAAAGATTAGATACAAATATTGATTAACTTCCTAATAATATAATTTAATTTAAATAAATATAGCAACTACGCCTGTGTAAAGAGTTGCAGCAATTCCGTTTTTTTGATACTTTACGATGTGTTTTACTGTTGATATAATTTTACCTCGTTTTTGAAACTAAAAATGGAATCGGATATGTAACCTTAAACTGTTTATATCATTTCATTTCTTTTCTTCACTAGTGAATTAAAATTTCACCGTTTTTTTATCAGAAGTTAGATGAATGAAAGAATAATGTTGTAACAAGCGTTTTGAATACTCATGTTTTTATTTTTATAACATAAGGTGGCAAACGAGCAAGCGGTCACTTGAATCCGCAAAACTGGCGAAGCGATCGCTACCCATAAACATATGCAATAGCGGATGCGATGCCTACCCTAATCGACGCAGGAGGCGACGCACATAAACAGGATATTTCCCCCTTTATACGCGTCTCCTGCACTATTAAATCCACGTTCCCTTCCCATCCTTATAAGAAAAAGGGTGGGAACGAAAAGGGACTAAAGTTGGGCCTCCGCCATCACACTCATCAGACAAAATGCGGAATTGCTTTCACTTCACGTCTGTCTTCTGCGTGGTCGTGGTATTTCACAGAGCGAGCCGACCCATTCGTGCAATGATGTTAAAGCGGGCACGGTTATTGTGTCATTCTTTCAGGTTTTTCACATATTTATTTAGGGTGCAAGACACTAATCAATCTGTTTTTTTGCAGTTTTTTTTAATTAACACAGTGTTTCTTTTTTATTGATTGGCCTTTAAGTAATGTAAACCGGTTACATGATGGCCGTGTGAGACAACATAAGCCGATTAAAATTGGTCGAGGTTAATTCAAAAATTTTACAAGTACTTGTTTTTAATTAAAGTTTTTTGTTTTCGTCCGGCAACATGTAAGGCGGCGGGGGCAGGGGCGAGGGCGGGCGGCTGGGCGGGCGGGGATTGCGCATGCGCGGTAGGGCGCGAGCGCAAGGTGGTAGCGTGCGCGCGCGGCGGCGGCGCACGCGCAGCGTCAGTACGCGCGCGCCCTCGACATGGCTCGGTGGCTGCCGGCCCTAGTGGCCCTCGCGGCGCTCCTCCTCGCCGCGCCGCCCGCGCTCGCGCGCAGGTCCGCCCCGCACAAGACCGAACCCCAGATCGAGGAGGTCACCGCCAAGCAGCTGGAGCGTATTCTGGAGGACAAGGACTTCGTGGCGGTGTACTGGTGTAAGTGCGGCCCGGTGCTGGCGCCCAGCCAGGCCTGCGTCGGCGGCGCCCGTCCAAATGGGTTATCGCCGAGTTAATGATCTTCGGTCGGGCGCGGAGGACCGCCCGATATTTTCGAAGCTCCGCTCGGTCCTGCGTCTCGTTATGCAACAGACATAAAACTTGACCCGGCCGCTGCGGCCGTCGACGACGCCTAAAATGGCGGCGAGTCTCGCGCTCCTCGGCTCCACGGCACCGGTGCTGGCGCGGCAAGGTCGCCGAGCGCCTACGCTCCGCACCGGCTAAAACTATAGCGGACACGGAGTGCGTCGCCGCCGCCGACTGTTCCGCTGAAATAGATCTCTCTTACGTTGTGTTGGCATTCCGACTATTTTCGTTTGTCGCCAACGATTGCATGGTGTCCGTTGACACGTCTCTCCCTGTCACCCTGGTGATGTCTCACGAAGGGACCGTCTCTATCTAGTCTAACATCTAAATGTCAAGTTGCGATAGTTATTTTGCTATGTCAGTACACGGCTGCACTCTTAGTACGGGTATATGTATTCATTCAAAGAAACGTTTGAGCAGACGACGTCGCTGTAATTATTCAAGACGCTAAAATTTTTAATTAATCAATGTCAAAATGACAAACGGTCATTTGTCTAATGAACTATTGGTACTGTTCACAGTACTCCCTCAGTTCGGGACGGTCTCATCACAACTGGTTTCATAACTAGAATACGCGGCGGTCGCCCTGAAAGCTTCGCATCAATGTCCGACGTCAAAATAAACATAAACAAAACATTAAACTTCATAAACATTCCGCGCAGATCATCAGGAACACAACATACAGCGAGGCGTTGAAAACTACAACGTGTTACTTTCATATTTGGATTTTAGTTCTAAATTTACTATCTTGAACCAAATGAAACTGAAAAAATATTCAGAATTCTGGGAAATGAAGTGATTGATTAAATATTTTAAGTTAATAATAGGGATACTGCCAGAGTTTTTAAAATACACAAGCCATTTTATACGCCGTGATCTGTTATAAGATCAAAATAGTCCTCACGTGGGAGTTCATAATTTAAAAAAAAGAAATATCGCCATTTCTTTCAAGATCCCACCGGTAATCTACAGACATCTTTAACGTGAATCGAGTCGAATTACAGAATTTGAGTTCATGATGTTATCTTGTTCTGACAACGCCTGCCGGCATTTAAAACGATTTGTATTTTAAAAATAGTCTCAGTTGCCAGCATAATGTTTTAGAGAAAAGACATAATTACGAAAACTCTCCGCAACACAACTGTTGCGTTTGGATAACATCCAAAATCATCGCACATTATCAATTTAGTTACCGGATTAATGAAAATCACGACATTTTTCTCTGAAGAATGGGCGTAAAAAACCACGCGGGCGAGGTTAACGGAAAAATAGACAAAAGCGAGGACAAACATGGCGTCAATGTTGGCGGGAACATTTGACATTAGGCCATACTGCCGCATTTAGGGTTTAGACACGGCAGTTATTTTTACAATCTATTGATGTAAAATACTTCAGTTTGCACAAGCGATTTTGTTAGCAGATTAAATTGAGAACATTATTGACGCTATTAACCTGCATAGCAGGAGGATTGTTACAAACAGATGCTTAGAGAGTATTCTCTACTGTATACAAAAGTCCCCTACAATGTTATCAGCAGGTGAAACATTATCAACACACTTATACATACATATCTTGTCGTTTTACGGGTATGCAGTGCCGGCGTTAGGGTTTGGCGTGGTAGAGCGATCGCCTAGGACGCTTGATAGAAAGCACCAGAGAGTTGCGAATTACTCTAGCGCTAATTATCGTAAAAAGTATGGTGCACCCTGCCTTATACCCTGCCTGTCTCGCCCAGGGCAATTATAGATAACTCTTGGCATAGGACAAATGCTTTACATTTAGTAGGAAACTAACTAAAACGTTTTTAACGTTATTCATCGTTATATTCTTTGGTTTTAATATTTTCTGAACTCATTCGAGTATACCGCGTAAATCACAGAATGCCAAAACAACTTATCCATAGTATACCATCTAAAATTAATTTTCCGTTCTTGCATTAATCAAGTAGTGAAAAGAAAACTAAAATTAAAATTGTATTCGTGTTAATTCCGTTGAGATTTATGTTCGTTGGCGTATCTTGCCGATTCCTGGGCGATTTCAAAAGCAAACTAATTCTTTCGCTTTATCATTAGTAAAGTATTCATTTTGATCCAATGCAAAATTATCAAAAAAGAATAATTTTGTTTGATACATGATATAATTGTTCAATACATACAAGTAACGCCTAAGTCGGCGTTAGAAGGGCGCGTTCGGGCTATTGCCCAGGGCGCTTCATAGAAAATGGCGCTAAAAAGCCGGAACATTCCCTCCCCTCAAACCACTATAAAAATAGGGACACCGCCCGTAGAAATATGGCCCAGGCCATAGGAGCGCTGAAACCATTGCTGAGTAATGGTTAATCGTATTAATATCAAATCATGTGATCAGATATTAGTATCGGGCTATTCTATTGCCACAGATTAAAAAATGTTGAATTTGGAGTAAAACTCGCGTGGAGTGTGGCAGTTTATGACCAATAACATAGATTAATTATTTTTCTCAATTTATAATGGCGTTAGTAACGCGACTATTAATCTATTGGCAGCTCATTGTTGGTGAATCAGAAGTTACGTTCCTATTCACGTAATACGATGATCGACAACAATGCTATTAATGCTTGTTTATTACAAAAATTAACAAAGTATTCGGTAATTTCAGTTAGTGAATGTAAGTTTCATCTATACTTGTCTGTATTACACTTTAAAAATATTAATCCGTCTTTAAATCTCAACAGATATTATTTAAAATTAAGATGTTAGAAGTTAATTTATTTCCGTGTTGTCAAGTTGTTTTTTGATTTGTCCACGTGTTTCTATCTCCAATATTTCAATGATAATTGAAGAGATGGCAATAAGTTACAACGTAACGTGAGTGCGGCAGTAAAAACTACAGTTAGTATAGTTACGAAACAATCGCATCCCGCATACAACAGCGCAATGCAGTTTGTTTATAATAGCACAGATATACTCGCATAACCTCGAAACTAGAAATATGTCTACGTGAAAATGTTTCTGTCGGATCTATCGGATAAAAAGCTATTACTTTTTTTTTAATATACGCATTTTTTTTAACGTTCAACATCATAAGAGATAGGTTTGTTTTGTTTTTGAACTGTCAACTGTCAAAATACAGCAAGTATTTTGACACTCTAATTTAAAGGCGAAACACTCCTACCAGAATTATACTTATTTCAGTTTTTTTAAGGCAAATGACAGAGATCACAATAGTATCTCCAAGAATTGTTTTTAGTTTAGTGAAAAGTCATGGTATATAAATATACAAAATGCTTGCTGAATCATTAGTGGATTTTCTGTTTTATTAATAAAATTCTGGAGATATGACATTGAATAAACTTTCAGTAGTAAATAAAATGTTTGATATTATCGTGTAAATATAAACGTCTTATATACTAATACTATAAATGCGGATGTTAAGATGGATGAATGAATGGATGGATGTTTGTTAGAGTTTGTAGCCTAAATGGCTGAACGGTTCTCGATGTTTAGCATACTTGTAGAGGATAATCTGGAAGAACACATGGCTACCTAGTTTTTTTTAAAGCCACACGGACGGAGTCACGGGCGAAAGCCAGTAACGTAATAAATAAAGCAAATCGCGTCATATATCATTAGTTTTTGACCAAGTTATGTGATGTTTTTGTTCACTGAATCTAGTATTTTCGTGTTCATATTTCTATTAAAAATACGGAATTCTAAGCTCTTGTGAAACAATATTAAAACAGACAGTGAATCAAGACATTCCAGCAGCGCGTGCAGGGTGAGTGAGGATTATTTTAATGTAGACTTATACTCCATGTGAGTAAAGCTTTAAACCGTTGAGATTCGACTCAACAACTAAATTAACAGTTCACGGCTCAATGGAAAAAGACTAGAACTATGAGTTTCGAAACCGCGAACTGCCTGGTGACTCGCAGCTCACACAATTCTTACCTTTATGAAGTTACAAATTGAACCGAGTTGCGTGCTGCTCACTGAAACCCTTCATACAGGCGAATCGTGAGCTGATCTGCAGGTCAGCTGCAGTTGAATTACCCGTGGCTATTTCCATATAATAATGTCTTAAGCACCAAAAGCAACTCTTGCACATGGTGCGATTATAATTTGTACAGTACTTTAAAAAAAACCGTTACTTAGTTCTTAGTTACTTCACTAAAAGTTCTTTAATTAATTAAAATACATGCAAACAATTTTATAAGTGTAAATTGATCCAAGATCACAGTGTTCGGATTATTTATAAAATCTTGCCAGTTGAAAACTCTAATTATTACTTACATTTAGTAAAAATTAAAATCCAAAAATTGCCCACTTCAAAGATCAATTAAACATAACCCTACCAGACTAGGATTAGGCAACCTGGTTATATGTTAAAAAATGTGTTATTTCACGTAATGTAGGTTTCATCACGAAAGCATCTGTACTTCTTCTGGCGTTACGGATATCCATGGGCGTCGCTGACCAACTCGGTGTTCTCGCCGCACTTTTGCCCCCTTTTATTAAAAAAAAAAGCAAATAAGGAAAGGAAAACGTTTTGTATCTTATCCTATAATAAATAATTACATTTTCTTATAATTGGATTACGGATTTTAAGCATTAAATAAAAACATGCGGTACAATTGCAGTCCCTACAATTTTGTTATTATTATAATCTTATTTTGATAAACTTATTAAACCAAATATAATTAATTCAAAGCTATATTGTGTAGAATAATTTGTTTAACATAATTTTCGAGGTTTGAGGTTATGTAAAGCGTTGCAAGTCGTTAATTTCCCGCGCGGCCGCAGAATGGACCGCGACGTGGCCGTAACTCGTTAATCCTTCACACATTATGACTATTTACATTTGAAATGAGTTTATTTTGACTAAATAGAAAATAAAAATCATAACAAAAAAGTAACACAATTTAAATATTAGTAAAATACGTTTTCTAGGATATTATCCTTACATTATGATGATGAAAATCTTAGTTCTTATCAAATCTAAGTATTATTATAAATGCGAAAGTTTAGATGGATGGATGTTTGTTAGAGTCTGTAGCCTAAACGGGTGAACGTATTTCGATGAAATTTGGTATAGATGTAGAGGAAAGTCTGGAAGAACACGTAGTCACTTTTGTTTTTTTAATTCCGCGAAACGCGAACGGAGTCACGGGCGAAAGCTAGTGTTATAAAGGCGAAAGTTTAGATGGATGGATGGATGTTTGTTAGAGTTTGTAACCTAACCGGCTGAACGGATCTCTATGAAATTTGGCGTCGATGTAAAGAATAGGCTGGAAGAACACATAGGCTACTCACTTTTGTATTTTTTAATACAACGCGGGCGGAGTCGCCGGCGAAAACTTGTTATTATATAAATCTTACAAAGCGAACTAATAAATACCTTTAGAATTATCTTGTAAATTGTAATAAACAGTTGTATGGCGAATGCATAGGGTTTTAGTTTATTTGTGATCTCAATATTTAAGTTGGTATGTAGTGCGTCTGTTAGAGCTTCGGAAATAATTCTTTACGCAATGACGTCGGTGTCTGAGTCGGTATTTGCGGAAAAATTGCAAACAAATGGAATAGAAACCAGGTTAATATAAAGGAAATTTTACTTGCAACCAATTGAAATTCAATTTTATTAGTGGACTAGCTGTTGCGCGCGACTTAATCTTCGTTAAACTAAAAAATGTAGTCTATATTACTCACTGATAACGTAGCTTTCTAATGGTGAAAGAATTTCGAAAAGGAGAAATGGTGAAAGAATTTCGAAAAGAAAATCGAAATCGGCCGGGTAGTTTTTGAGTTATTTCAATACATAAAAAAATTAAAAACTTTATAACATTAGGATAGATTTTTAAGATACTTATATTGCTCGTACTTTTATGTAAACGTTAGTACATGTCAAAACTTATCTTATAACTATTAAAAAAAGAAGGATTGCGTTAAAAGTGACGCGATTAAAAGATCAAAACCTCTTAGTTGTAGTATGGGCTACGCGTGTTTTGCGTGACCTCTTATGATAACTATCTATTACTTGACAAGGATAGGGAGATGATAATCTTGATATATCTCTGTTAACAGATGCCAGAAGCTGCGTGACTTGTGACAAAGTACTGGATGAGCTGGAGAAAATCGATGACGACACTGACACTTTCGGCGTCGACTTCGTTAAGATCAACGACAAGAGGCTCGCAAAGCAGTATGGCATCACGAAATTCCCCGCCCTCACGTACTTCCGTGAGAAGGAACCGATCATTTACGAAGGTTAAATCATTAACTCATTATTCCATGTTTGAAAAATTTTAGCGTCTTCAGTTTTATTTGACTAACACAAGGTTACGTTCTTGGCAATGTTTTAAGAATTATATTTCTTATTTTACCAGTATCATACGTAAAAGTTCATAATGCTTAATTTTCTAAGGGATTTTTGTATGAATATTTGAATGTGTGAAGTGGATTGAAACCGCTAAATAAAAGAGGAAGTCTTTTTGCGTGGGATGGGTGATATAGTTGTTAATTCAATTTTAATTACACTTTAGGAGATCTCATGGATGAGGAGAGTGTCCTGGATTTCCTGACGAGCTTAGAAGCAATGGATCTTCCTGACCGGATAGAAGAAGTGAATCAGAAAATTCTGGAAAAGATTATAGAAGAAACCGAATACGTAGCCGTTCTATTTTGTGAGTATTCAACATACATTCATGGGTTTTTTGTACTTTAACCAGTTCATCAGCTATTGTGGTAAAAATTTGAGCTATTTTCTTCACTAACAAAATTAAAAAGTAATGTATTATTCTAGCAATCGAGTAGTTATTCTTCTCTGTTGGCTTATTTGAAATGTAGGCTAAACTGTTTGTAAGAAAATAATCGTGCCGTGTGTTTGACTGTGTTTTTTACGTAGGTCCCGATCTCAGTAAATGCGGGCCGCTGCTCAGTAAGTAAGGTTTTCAGCTCGGGGCATGAATTTTAATGTCGGTGTTGCTGTAGCTGCTGGCTTACTAGACTAGATATCTTATATTTTAGTGCGGATCCGCTTTTCGCTTGCATTGAAGAATAAATCAAGGAGTGTCAAGAGTTTATAGAAGTGTCTACTGAAGCAGCGTTGAAAACGACGAATTTGGTGCCCAACCCAACGATTATGTCTGCGTGCTTAACTCAGAGGCCAAGGAGACACTGTTATCCATAAGATTTAATTGTCAAGAAATTAAAAATCGTAAAGCCTTAACAAAAGTAGACACGAGCACCGCATAATTGCTTTTCTTCGTCAATTTATTGTTTGTCACCTATGATCTTTTGGCCTATCGCTGTTCTGTCTTCTCTTTGATAAGTTCCTTTAAAGCAATGCATGTCCATCCAGTGTAGAAGAAGGTTAGAATCAAAATCGCGTTAGCATTATCTGGCCGTGCCGCGAGTTATTTTTGCCGTCCTATTTCTGTCTCGCCAGCCAGCTCGGATTGACGGACCGACTTGTCACGAACACGTCGTCCCTAAATTCTAATCGTTAAATTAAACAAGATGAGAGAGCAAAAATTAAATTACTAATTCGTTTAGACCAATATGTTTTTAATCTTAAAATAGAATTAAAGAAGAAAATCTGATGACCTTGACCTAATATCTTATGATAGGAAATGGCCAGTATGAAAACAGGAGCATGCTATTTGTGAAAGTTGTCTTCGTAGAAACTATACCCGTTACACGTTCTATAATCCGAACAAACGATACACCAGTCACTGTTGCTATGTTATAAATAAAAGTAGAATAGATTATATAGCGGATTTCTAGCAAACCCCGTGGATTTAGGTTGGTATGCACATATGAACACCCAAATTCCGAGCACCGAGCACATCTCCTGCTTTTTATTGTCATGTACGATGTAAAAGTAGAGGTATCGTACAAGAATTAAAACATCACATCTGTCTGAAAAGGTCTATTGTGTTTACACTCAATTAACTTTCTTTTAACGCACTCAATTCACTGAGCATTGCGCTTACCTGCACTGCCACAAATCCTTATGAAGCATGAGAAGAAGTAGGCCCAAAGTTTGGTATGTTTCTGACTGTATTCGAAAATAATATGGTGTGTTTCAGATAAACCAGAATGTAAGAAGTGCGCTAAGGCTCTACAAGAGTTGGAGAACATCGACGACGAGGCTGACCAGCTCGGAATCGGCTTCGTGAAGATCCACGACGAGGAGCTCGCCGAAGAGTACAGTCTTGGAGAATTGCCAAGATTAGTATACTACAGGCATCAAATACCTATTATCTATGAAGGTGTGTGACTCATTATATGCTGACGTTCCACACGTCACGAAATTAAATTACAATCAAATGCTTTTATTATGGTGACTAGTTATAAACGACAGGTTCAAGTTTATTCTACGTGTCTGACGTCGCCGTCGTTAGGGGTTTTACTGCAAATTCTGATGTCAGGTTGATTTTGAACTATTTTTTGAGAATACACTAATTTTAACGTCTTGATGTTTAGGTGAATTAAGCAGGGAGGAAGATGTACTGGAGTGGCTGATAGCGAACAAATCGACCGGAGATGAAGAAGACGTCATCGAGGACGTCACCGCCAAAACGCTGAATACACTAATTGGGAATGTGGACAACCTTGTAGTTTTGTTTTGTAAGTAGTTTCAACCATTTTTAAAAGACTCGAAGTAATTAGGCATCAGGTTATTGAAATAACTCCTCTTTCAGACGACCATGGCGATGAAGAGTCGATGACAGTATTAGGAGAGCTTGAAAAAATTGATGATGATTGCGACCGTCACGGAATTCAGTTTGTCAAGATTGATGATAAGAAAGCTGCTATCGAATTTGGCATTGACAATCTTCCAGCTATCGTTTACTTTGAAAAGCAGATACCTAATGTTTATGACGGTAAAAATATTTTAAACTATTAAACTGGACGACGTTTTTTACCCAATTTTGTTATTAAAATTAGTCCTTTTCGTATAGGTGATCTCGAAAATGAAGAAGAAATGCTTGAATGGCTTGTGGATCAACTAGAAAAAGATGAAATCGAAGATGTTACTGACGAAATGCTTGATCGTTTAATCAAAGATGGAAAAACTGTAGCAGTCTTATTTTGTGAGTATTCCATTGTTAAAAAATACATATTTAGTTAGAGAAGGAAAATTTTATTTTTTAACATTTACGCTAATACTTTCAGATGATAATAATGATCGTAAATCTCAGAAAGTCCTCAACGAGTTAGAAAATATTGATGATGAATGTGACCAACTTGGAATAGCCTTTGTTAAAATTGACAACGATGATGAGGCCAAGGAATACGGTATTGAAAAGGTCCCTACACTTTTATACTTTGAGAAAGGTATACCGACGTTCTACGAGGGTAATCTAGAAGAAGAAGAAAAAGTACTTGATTGGCTCAGACATCAGGCTGAAAGCGATGAAATTGAAGATATTACTGATGAAATGCTTGATCTCATAATTGAGAAAATGCCTTATGTTGCCGTTCTTTTCTGTAAGTAGCTTTATTGTGTTATTTTTTCCACAGTTAAGACAAAAAATGCGCAAAAAATTATTTTCTTTGAATTTTAGTAAATTATTTTCAGAACTGACTTAAAATAAAATACAGATTTCCATATAATTTTCAGATGACAAGGACCAGAAAAAGAGTCAGAAAATATTAGCAGAACTTGAAAACATTGACGATGAATGTGATCAAAACGATATTGCGTTCGTTAAAATTGATGATGACAAAGAAGCCAAGGAGTATGGCATTGAGAACATACCGACAATGGTATTTTTCGAGAAAGGAATACCACACATTTACGAGGGCGATTTAATGAAGGAAGATGAACTGCTTGGATGGTTGCTCCACCAGAAACGTCACAGTGAAATTCCAGAGGTAACCGATGAAATGATGGACAAATTGATTGAAAGTACGCCGTATTTAGCTGTAATATTCTGTGAGTATTTATTGTAATGTATTATGTTTACTATTTGATGTTTTAAGATTACAACTACTAATAACTAATTTCTAATTTTCAGATGATAAAGATGATAAGCAAGATATCAGGATCTTAAATGAATTAGAAAATATCGACGATGAATTGGAAAAGGAAGGGATTGTTATTGTAAGAATTGATAATGACGCTGAAGCTAAGCAATATGGTATAGATCATCTGCCAACTTTAGTTTACTTTGAAGAAAATATTCCTGCAATTTATGAAGGCGATCTCATGAACGAAGATGAAGTGCTGGAATGGCTCATTGAACAGAAGAACAGTGCAACCATCGAAGAAGTTACTGATGAAATTTTAACAGAACTGATTGAAGAACACGAATATGTTGTTGTATACTTCAGTAAGTAATTTACTCATAACTTTATTAAGATTAGTCGTAAACATATAATTTTAATAAGAGACTTTAAACACGTGTTTTTTCGTATATCTAGGTGGTAAGTGTGAAGAAGGTGAGGAGTGTGATAACATTTTGGAAGAATTAGAAAATATAGACGATGAATTGGATGAAACTGGCATTATATTTGTAACAACTGAAGATATCGCATTAGCTAAAAAGTACGGTATCAAGACTTTCCCCACACTTGTTTTCTTCAGGAACAAAGACCCACTTATTTATAAAGGTAAATATACGCTAAGCTCAAAAATAATAAACCCGTTACTTAATATCTTAAGAAACAATGACATTGTCTATTCTAAAACTTTTTCTAAAATTACAGGCGACATTGAAGATGAAGACGAAGTATTGGCTTGGCTTACTGATGAAAACACACTTGAAATTCCTGGCAAAATTGAGGAAGTAAACTCCAGGATGTTAGAGAAAATTTTAGAAGAGAATGATCATGTGGTTGTCTTCTTCTGTGAGTATACTATTGGATATTTTTATTTTAAATACCACTCTAAGTGGATTTAATAAAAACATAATATTTATAGATAAAGAGGGCGATAAGAAATCTCAAAAAATATTGAGTGAATTAGAGAACATTGATGATGAATGTGAAGAGAAAAATATTGACTTTATTAAGACATCAGACGAAGGTGTGGACAAGGAATATGATCTTTCGGAATTGCCAGCTTTAGCTTTCTATCGCCACAAATTTAGGACTATCTACGATGGTGATTTAATGCATGAAGAAGCTATTTTAAAATGGGTTCTGGAACTGCACGATTCTCAACCAGATGTTATTGAAAACGTTGACAGAAAAACTCTCAAAGACCTGATCGATGACGTTGAACACCTGGCTGTTTTCTTTTGTAAGATTTTTTATCCTTTTCTTCTTTTTAAATAAATTTGAATAGCTGCTGTTGAAGTTCTATTTTTGTTTCTATAATCGTTCTAATACTCACTTCTCTCTCTACTTTTTGAGTTTTTGATTTAGACTTGTGGAACTTTATCCTTACGTATTGCTCAATCTCAAATGTTAATTTACATAATATTCCAGATAGTGAAGACTGCGACACCTGCGACGATATATTAGATGAATTGGAAACGATTGACGATGACACAGACAAACACGGTATTCAATTCGTAAAATCGAAAGACTCTAAATTGGCATCTGATATTGGTATTTTCAGTTTCCCAGCTCTGGTTTACTACGAAACAGGTGTACCTATAATGTACGACGGTAAGTCAATTTGTGTTAGCATTTTTATGGAGTTTTATTTTATCATGCGAGAATTATAATACTGGAAAAACGTATGTATTTTAGGTAGTCAAGAAAAGTTTTAAAGTGTTATTTTTTTATTATTTAATACATGGAATTTCTCAGTTCTCAGACTATGATAATTATTTTTAGGTGTATAATTTGTGCTATATTAACAAGAGACTTAATGTAATCTAGATTTTATCCTGTTTATAGGTGATTTAAAGAACGAAAATAAGGTCCTCCAGTGGCTTGTAGATCAAAAAAGTAAGAATCCACATCCATTTTAAAAACTATGATTTAATTACTTATGAAATACAAAATATTTATGTCTTAAATCGACGTTTCCAACAATATGCATGACATCATTCTTTATGTTTGTACAAATAAAATAATACTTTACGCCTTTATTACTGAATGTTTGAGCTACGTCATTTTGCATGACAGTTACTAATGCCTGTAGGTGAAGATAGCCACCGAAAAAGATATAATACTAATACTAAAACAATGGCCAATGCAGATGGTGATAAAGCCTCAGGTCTCAAAAGGAGTAAACGAAACTTGAATGTCATAAAAACGAACACGCGGAAAGAGTCTCAGTTGTCACCAGCCAAGCCTAAATTAAAGATAATCTCGCATCCAAAATTCAAAGGTCAGAAAATGAACCAAAGAGGTAAAGATGATGATGATGATGATGGAGACGACGACGACGATGACGACGACGACGACGATAATGATGATGATGATGATGATGAGGATGATGATGACGAAGAAGATAACGACGATGATGAAGAAGATAACGATGACGATGACGACGACGATGATGATAATGACGATGACGACGATGATGCCGATATTGTGGACGATGATGATGACGACGATGATAACGAGGGTGATGATGATGATGATGATGATGATGATGATGATGATGATGATGATGACGACGAGGATGAAGATGATGACGATGAGTCCGACACCAGAGTCAGCACTGACGAGGATGATGAAGAGGATGAAAACAATTACTACAGTTATTTTGGTAGAATAAAACAAATTTTGACAGGTAACTAGGTAGTGGGTAGTATTGGACCCTGAGAGCTGACCCTGCACGGAGGCACCGACGTACCCCAGTCACACATCTGCATGGTCGAACAAAGAACCCGCATGGGTCCTCAGTAGCTATCGCCTGCAGTCATTCGCGAACGCTTGCCGAATTAAATGTTTTAGTTCTTATACTAACATAATATTTAGAATTAATAGCGCGCATAACAAATAGGCGCATAAATTGAAATTTGCACAGTATTAACTCTAAAGTTAACTGTAACTGTATTTTTCCAATTTTTACGGGTTATAAACAACAAATTTTTACTGACTGCAGGCGATCGCTGTTTCTACATTGGATTGGGAGCGAAACCGGCTGTCCCTAAAATGACTTACGAACCTTACCAGTGCTGTCCCACCAAAGTAAAGAGTCCGACGAAAGTGGCGAAGGCGACGCCGACCAAGGTCCCGCCGAAGAAGCTGGATAAGAAACAACCAGCCTTGGAGAGGCCGAGCAAGGGGAACAAGGGCAAGGCTCTCGCTAAGCCTGACAGGCCGACTAAAGGGAAAAAAGGTTTATTCGGCTCTGACAATATTTGGTGGTGGTAAACTTTTATTGTTAGATCCGTATTTTACAATGTTGTTATCGGATGAACAATTGTAAGGTATCAAGAGGAGACGAACGTTTTTACCTCAATTCAAGATTCAATTTTCACAGTTGCTTGATGTCATTAGATTACAATCATTGATTAATAATCCATATCTTAATTTTGTGAATTCGTATCTCTTGGACCTTATCAACATCTAACATATTTGTATGTTGTATTAATACTTTGTACGTGAACTGTATTCAGCAAGTTAGCGGAAATTTCTTCATTCTATCAGTTGAATCATAATTTTTTAATTGAGGTTAGAGATTTACATTTTTAAATTTTTAAAGTATTAGGTTTTGATATATTTATTTCTTGATAAGGGGCTCAATGGTGCTAAATATTGGAATTGCTAGAACTCTTTAAGCAGGTGTACAAATCGTTATTCGACTTTATTTAATTCCAATATTTAGAGCTGAACGATGAGGTGAAACATCAAACATAGGCATTTCTAATTGTATGCATATTGACGTATCATCTTGAAAGACTTATTGTTTTAAGTATTTCATGTTCATATAGTTTTCTAGTCTTCTCATTCTCATTATTTTGTAATAAATTTGAAATAAACGCATTACAAGAAACCAAAAAAATTGTACACGACGTGAACAAACACCAAAATTTGGAAGATTTCTAGTCAATAATTAGAGTACAGTAACAGTTAATTGGTTTGTCGTATATTTAAATGATGCACAGACTACTTAACCCGCTAGTTTAGGCTCTAACAGGGCTGGCGTTGTTAAAACAAATAAAAGGTTGTATTGTTTGATCGAAATTAAGCATGGATGTTTTATTATTTTATTTGTTACAATGTTATAACGGCGCTGATATAATATTTTTTTTGTTAAATAAATACAATTTTCTATTATTGTATTTATTATTGCTCATTTCACACACGAATGATGTCGGCATGGTAGTTGTACGAGCATGCCTATTTTTGGATGTCACTGGTAAGTTTTTATTAGATCAAATGGATGTGGTTTCTCAATGATCTATGTTTCTAATAAACATTTCAGCATTCAATTAAATTTAAACATTGTAGGAAACCTATTGGACGAGTCTGAAGTACTCGATTGGATGATCAAACAAAAAGAAGATGAGTCGATTGAAGAAATCGATAGGGATGAATTGTTCAAATATATTGAAACTAAAGAATTTTTGGCTGTTGTATTCTGTAAGTTTATAAACAATGATCTACACGCGCTAATATTGTTTCATAAATTATAATGTAGTCAATAATTACAGATAGAGATGACGACCCTGGAAGTCCAAGAATATTAAGACATGTGGAATTGATTGACGATGAGGCATCTGAATATGGAATAAAAATAGTCAAGTGCAGCGATCGACTGATGGCTAAGAAGTATGGTTTCCGCAATCCACCAGGCATCACGTACTTTAGAAAGACTAAATATATCAATTACGATGGAGACATCGATGACGAAGAGGAAATATTAGACTGGTTAACCAATCCAGAGAATATGGAGCTGACAGACCATATTGAGAAAGTTAATAGAAAGATGTTTCAGAAAATAAGACAAACATCTGATTACGTAGCCGTATTCTTTTGTGAGTTTTCATATCTTTTAATGTGAATCTCTCTTTCACCTTAAGTTCGTTGCCTTTTTTAACTTGTATGTGTATTTTGGAAAATTGAAGCCGTATTTCACTTATTATATGTTTTAGACAGTAATGACTGCAAACAGTGTCCCAGAGTATTGGCGGAGATAGAACACATAGACGACGACGCTGATGGAGCCGGTATCAACTTTGTGAAAATCGACGACAGGCAAATGGCTAAAGAATATGGAGTGTTTGCTTTACCAGCTGTCTTGTTTTTCAAGTTGGGATCCAAAGAACCCGTTATTTATGCGGGTACGTGTTTAGAAAATCATTGATCCACTGAAAGGTCTACAATGTTGGTAAATGTGTACCCAGATGTAGAAAATCTTCTCTTAAATCGATTTAATTCTTGCGATTATTTTTTGAAGTTTTCTTTCTAATTCTTTGTTTTTGATTAACTTGAGAATCACTTTTTTTGCCAGGTGATTTGTACGATGAACACCAACTGCTCAGTTGGTTGCTGACCCAGAAAAATCCAGCTGGTGACATCATTGAAGCTCTTGAGGGAAAAGATCTGTTGGACCTGATAGAAGAATCGGTGTCCGTAGCGGTATACTTTTGTAAGTTTATGTCGTTTCACTACTAACACTGTATATTCTCTCTCTTTCTGTAATATTTTATTCAGTTATTTCTGTTTCAAATATAAATTTAGCAGGTAACATAAGTGATATTCAATTTAAATTAGTAACAGATATATGTATTCTTAATAGGGAATAAAACGTTATGCGAAATATGCAATTTGAAGGCCATGCAAAAGACAGTAAGAAAGAAAGACAGAGGCCACGAGGAAGAGGAAGGACAGGAATTAGAGGGTACTATCCCTTGCACTTCTCTTCAGTCCATACATACTATATATCCTGGTTTTGATTACACGCATGAGGCACGTTTTCACACACATTTGGTATCAGAAATGAAATGCACTCAACATATGATACCTACGAATTTGTCACCATCCCTGTGTGGTTCATTGTAATCAGAATGATGTATTGTGATTGTCTTTAGTTTAGATACTGCATTTTTGATTTTATAATCTTCGATAGAAATTTATATTTGGATTTAGAGTAGAATAGTTTTCTTTCTTCACCTAATAATTGAAGTTTCGTGTTTAAAGTTATGACAAATTTACAGATGGGGTTGACTGCGAGCAATGTACAGGGATATTGGAAGAACTAGAGAATATCGATGATGATTGTGACAGACATGATATTAAGTTTGTTAAAACCCAAGATTATTCGATTGCGGAGCAATATGGTGTAACTGATTTTCCAGTTTTAGTTTACTTTGAGCATAATATACCAAATGTATACGAAGGTTCGTTAGCTGAAGAAGAGGAAGTACTCCAATGGTTGATTACCCAGAAAACTGAAGATTGTATAGAACTGATAACTAGAGTGATGTTGGAGAAAATGGTTGAAGAAACACAATATTTGGCGGTTTATTTCTGTAATAGAAACCAATATTTTAGAATTTCGAATGTACTGCTTAAAAGCTTACTTATTTGAGCTCGTTTTTTTGCAGATAAATTAAATTGTCACATATGTGACCACATACTTGAAGGTTTGGAGAAGATTGATGACGAATGTGACGTATATGGTATTCATATGGTGAAAATCCAAGATCCACAGCTTGCTAAGAGATATTCCATTAAAACGTTCCCAGCTATGGTTTACTTTAGGTATCGTTATATTATGAACTAAGGTAAAAATCATTATAAACTCTTGCTACGATTAATAACTTTCCAATCAACAGAAACGGTAACCCACTCCTCTTCGAAGGTGACTTACAAAACGAAGAGTCGATCTTAGAATGGCTTATAGATGATGACAATCGTGAATTGGCGGATGAGATTGAATCAGTAAATGAGAGAATGCTCGAAAGATTACTTTATCAGTCACATTTACTTGTGGTCTTTTTCTGTAAGTAAAAAAAAGACTATTCATTAACAAATCTACACGTAACTCAGTCTTAATAACATTAAGCTTTTTATTTCCAGATGATGATGAAGATTGTCCTGAATGTGAAGAGATACTCGAAGCATTAGAACAGATTGACGGAGAAGTAGACCAATATGGTATTGATTTCGTGAAGATAGCAAGCGTGGAGGCTGCAGCGAAGCATAGTGTAGTGAATATACCATCTTTAGTATATTTCCGTAAACGTGTACCGATGTTGTATGACGGAGATCTGCATCACGTTGATAAAGTACTACAATGGCTGACTTCTCAAGACGTTTTTGAAATCAAAAATGAAATCGAGGAGGTTAACAGAAAAATGTTGGACAAACTTTTGGAAGAGAACGAATTCCTAGCTGTGTATTTCTGTAAGTGTTTCAAGCATCTTAAAATGACATTTACTTCATTTTAGAATTTACTTTAACTGTCTTTATTTTAGATGAAAAGTCGATGGAAAGCAGAGCAGTTTTGGATAAATTAGAAAACATTGACAGCGAGACCGACAATTTGGATATCACATTTGTGAAAATGCAAGATCCACGATATGCCCGTAAATGGGGTGTTACGAAATTACCAGCTATTGTATACTTTAGGAAGCGTTTCCCGAGTATATACAGAGGTGAGAAAAGTTGACTATCGATTGGCAGAAAAAGAATCTGTTTAAGATATTACACATGATCTTTCTATTTTTATCCTTTCAGAGAGATGACATAATATGAACTCTCCAGCAGTAATTTCTGAATTCACACAATCTACGAGTATCTATACTTTCTTAGGTCCATCCATATTCTACCAGTATATTGTTTTATATTTATTGATGGTTTTATTTTAGGAGATGTAATGTCTGAGATTGAAGTATTGGAGTGGCTTCGAAAGAATCGGTTCCGACAACCTGAGCTTAATATATTTATGTACGCACTGATAGCACTTTCTGTTGCATTCGTGATGTACACGGCCTTCTTGCTGCAGTGCTTCAAGCCGTCTGCGCCTTCCACAACACAGCATCCTAAACAAGCGTGAGGGGATTCCCCAACCAAAGACTAATTGAGACTATGACCTTATGGTCGAATGTAAAATGATTTTATTTTAAACATGATTTGCATAAAACTTGTTCAGTTCAGTGATTCAGATTATAGTCACATCTGACTTTTGTGACTACTCTTTGTTATTTGGGAACAAACTTTTACTTCGATAGAAGTTCTAGAATTATCTGTAGTTTTTTTGTAATCATATTCCGTTACGTTTATTAATTAAGAAATCTATTTGTTTTTTAATAGTTTGTTATGTTTTCAAGGGTTAACAGTTTATTACTTTTTTTTTGTATAAATATTGGATTGTTATATTTTTCACGTAACGGGTTATGGATACACTTAATATATCGATAAGTAAAACGTTAACAATATAAATATTTTAAATTTTAAATTGCCATTATCTATGAATATTTAGTTTTAATTCATGATTTTAATAGTGGTTTTTAACTTACGATGGTTACCATTTGATAATTTTACGGTTTTACTCTTAATTTTTTTGATCATTTTATTGTTTATGGTTTACAATAATTACCATGACAAGTTAACTGCGCCTATTATTTTTTAATTCGATAGTTAGTGAAATTAAAAAAAGGACCGTAATAAATCGATAATGTCCTTTTATTAGGTGATTATAATTATTTTCAGCCAGAATTAAAATGTTGTTATTTTATTGATTTATTAAAAAAAACCGATAAGTAACAGTTTTCATTATTATAAAGAAAACATAGATTACTCTTGCGTGTTTTTGTAACGTGAAAATCTTATAATTTCGCTCGTTGTTTGCAAAGATTTATACGTTGAAGCCTTTTATCTGTTTTAGATAAATGTTAATAATAAACAGTAAACTTTATTTAATATTTTCCTTCCAATTATTTATATAACACACACGTGTGAGTTGATTTAAAAAAATGTCTACTGTTATGCGAGGCGTCATGTAACTGACTTTGACAATTTATTTTCTATGATTTTTTTTATTGTCGATCATTAAAATTTTGTTCCAATGTGTTTTCTCTACGATGAGGGAACACTTTACAACGGTGCTCAAACGATAGAAATGGGCGTTGCGTGCGCAGAGCATGAATATAATGTTGTATATAAAATGTAAATATCTTAAATACATAAAAATAGTAAAATTAATCTTGATTGTTTTTTTTAAATATCCTTTAATTAAACAACTGAACAGGAATATTCAATCTGTGGATGGCCTTTTAATTTTGTTTGTCTATGCCTTTTTACTGGCTGGAAAGATAAAATGGAAGAGAATAAAAATATGGAGTGTCAAGACTATGGTCTAATAAGACGAATATTATTGCTATTGAAATAATAAAACTGTATAAAATAATGAATTTTATTACCGAGAAATACAATGTACAAAAAAAAATACAATACTTGCTTAAAATTTTAAAATATTTACATAGGACTTAACCTATTTACCCGTGATGAAAAACAAAAACATTATTTTAATGACTTTCTATTAATAACATTAAAAATATAACAATTCCAATATACATTTAACATCGATTTTCCATGTGAGGAACATAATATGTAATAACATCTACAATTTCGTGTAAAAATATATTTTACTACTTTTTTAGTTTATTGTTACTCAATGGGAGTCGCTAGCTGATAATCTTACGCTAAAAAGGTTACCATTTGAGTTTTTTTTAATTAGTTTCTATGTATAGATTTTTTGATTCTCTGGAGGGGTTAGGGGGCGGCTTGCGACGCCCATGTACTACTTATAACCACAGACTTTTATTTCTAACTCCTATTGTAATTACAGGCCGGCAAATTATTTAATAATTTATGTAAACAAGAAACAAAATCCCCGATATAAATTTTAATACAAAATATTAATTTAATGAACTAATTTTTTTTTTGTACATAAATTACTAACTCGTAAACCGATGTTTAATTAAAGTATTATAACAAAAAATTGTTTGTTTACATACATCTCAGACTTTTATTATGTTATGACAAGAGTTTTGTTTTTATAATCTTTTAAGTATTTGGCCTTTTGTGATTCGAATAATTCGGTTAATCTTCTCGTGAATTCTGAATGTACGGCGTTCACTTCATCGTCAGTGGGCTCCAACTTTCTTTCAACTGCCATTGGAGTGCCAACTGAAAACATTTGCAAATATAACCTTAAAATGCGATATGCGAATATGCGAAGATTTTCATTGTTGTAAATCAATGTAGGTTTTAGGTACGTTTTTATAATACACGAAAAATAAACACTTAAACAAGACTGTCTTCTAAATCTCTACCAAATTTCAACAAAATTCGTTCATCCGTTTAGGCTACAAACTCTAACAAACATCCATCCATCTAAACTTTCGCATTTATAATATTAGTATGATTTTGTTTTGTTCGTTCTCACAACGGATAAAAATCTGGTTACCCGAATTTTTTATTATCTTATAATGAACTAGGAGTTGCCCGAAAGTTTTCCTCATTATAATATTAGTATGATTAACGTTTCTCTAATGAATTTAAAAGAATCATATTTTCGGATGCGTTGTCTTAAATCTTTGTTAAAATTCCCAGGAATGTGCCAGAGACCGCATGTAGGTCACTAGTTTACCACTAGGTTTGCTATTTTTAAAACGCAACAAACAGACGTTAAAAACTATTCTAGAGATTTTCTATTTTTATTACAGTTTACAACAGAAATTTGCCAAATATTAATTAAAATTCATCACATATTTTAACCCGTTTCATGACACATGTATATGACACATTATAACATTAGTGCGCGAGAGTTTAGATAGATGTTTGTTAGAATTTGTGGCCTAAACTGCTAAGCATTTTCTGGAAAAACACCTAGGCTACTTCTATTTTTTTTTTTAATTCCACGCGGATGGCGATGCGGGCAAAAGCTAGACCATTAATAAACTTATTGTGTTAACTAAAAAAGAAGTAGTACCATTATCGTTTACCCTGTTAAAATTGATTTTACCAAACGTAATTGAAATTGTACGCATATATAATAGATACGAACCAATATTACTTTTTTTTTAATGAAGTATAGGTTTCTAATTTGTAGATATTTTAGAGTTTAAACTCTCATTTAAAGAGATTTTTCGCTTATGAAGTCCTCACTTGTCTAGGTTCGGTTGTAATTGTAACTTACCAACAGTAGTGATGGGCGATCGTAAAGGCAATACACCGAAGGTATACTGGAAGAGGCCGCGGCCGATGGGCAGGATGGGCGAGATGCCGGTCCACTCGCGGAACTTCTCCTGGAACCTGCGCAGCAAACTGTCCCGCGGGTTGTTGAAGGGACGGAACACGTCCGGCTCCCCGAACGAGAACACGGGAACTAAAGGAGCCCTGGAATGGAGGAAAGTTTACTGTAGCTAACGACTTGGAAACAACTTTTGGGTAAATCAAATTTAAGAATGTTACTGGTTCCAATGGTTCAATGAACTTCCTTCTGTTACATTTCACTCTTTTCGCTCTTTTGTATTTACCTTAGAAAGACACCTTAGAACCACTTTAGAAACCATCAATTTAAGTGGCTATTCAAATATTTGTATAGTAAAAGTCTCTTAAAATATTTCTTAAGGTAAAATATGATATCTTACCCAGTTTTCATGGCAACTCGTATAAATCCCTTCCTTCTGCTCAGAATGACGCTGTATTCTCCGGGATGTGAATCCAGTGCCTCGGCGGCCCCGCCAACAATCAGTGCCACGCATTTCCCCGTGTGTTTCCTTCTATCTAATAAATGTAATAGACTCTCTTCCGAAGATGCGCATCCACCAAGCGCTAGAATCAGATCTCTGAACAGGGGAACTAAGAAATGTCCTCCTAATGTTATCATATGGCACGTCATGCCGGGGAATGTTCTGTAAAAGTTTAACGCGTTAGTAGCGAATGCTCCGAACGCCCCAGTACTGACGACACCGTGGGGGAAACAAGCGAATAGGTAATTCTTCGATGGATCCAGTTCAGCGGTCTTGACTAGTTTAATTGGGAAATAGTCGCAGTAGTTTCGCCACCAGGACCAATTCCTGACCCATTCAAATCTGAAAATGATACACAAAAATAAATTTTTATTGAATTGAATGTAACAAAGATTCGATTGCCATGCTTATTCTAAACTACCTGTTACTCTCGACTTCTCCCGCGGGAATTTGAAAAATAATAAAAACTATAGGCTATGACACTCACTGATAACGTAGCTTTTTAATGATGGAAGATTTTTTTTAAATCAGCGCAGTAGTTTTTGAGTTATTTCAATACATACAAAAATTGATAAATCAGAGAAGACGCTTTGTAAAAATCACAATAATTGAGAATTAAAATCATTAGCTATTAAAGTAAACAACATTGATGAAATACATAAAAATTGTCGGTCTTTTCAAAACTCGTTACCTCACCTACGTCCACCCTTGTTAGGTGTTTCAAGATCTTTGAGCATCCAGACAGCATAGCCGATGGCCAACCACCACATTGATGAGTATAAAACGCTAAGGTAGACCAGTATACTGATAGCTTCTCCGAACAGCACGAGACAGATCCACCCAGCAGCACCCAGAGTCTGAAGACGACGCGTCATAGGTACATCTCGCGGTGCCCATTGTATACCGAGCTTTTCTGATATAAAACTGAAAAGATAAGACGAAAGACTGAGATTTAGAGAAAAGCAAGATAAAAGAGGTCCTTAGAGTGCACACTTTTGACTAAAACATCGCAGAAATTGTTGTGCGATTGTCGATTGTTTGGCAGCACATACAACTGCACAACTAAAAAATCATACAGACGTATTGATTACCTCCTTTTGAGAAGTCGGTCAAAAATCGAGTAGTGTTTCACCTCCATAAGCTCATAGGAATCAAAGTAAGACTAAACAGTTGTGCGATAGTTCAGTTTCAGGTGTGCGCCCGCACTTAATAAGAATGATGAACAACTGGCAGTATCTTAGTTCGATCTTTGTTTATAGAATTAATGTAAGTAATTTGCTGAACATAACTAAAAAAAAACATTGGGAAAGAGTCGGTTCAAAGATACCTAATAGTTTATCTTTTACACGATGTAGACTGCCGATTACATTTCTTATCTAGTTAAATCCATTTGGTTTAAACATTACACAACCGTTAGGATGGCACAGTTGTATAGTCGAATTTTGAAATTATTACTAGTTTTTTTTACTACGCGCGGGCGATTACTATTGGTGTATAAACTACAGCAGGGTTGAATGTTTTGAATGTTGCGGGCCAAACTTTAGCTTGCAAAAACGTTTGCAAAATCAAAGGATTTCATGTTTGCTGCCTCACTGTCTCACTGTCACTCCTTGAGTAAAAGTACATTTTTGGTATCGG